TGATCCAATTTTTCTGACCTTCAAGAGCAAATTTGACGAACCCGTATTATATCTATATATATATATACATATATACATATATATATATATACAAAAAAAAAGTAATGTGAGTTGCTTTCAAGTGGAAAAGGCCCACTGAACTTAGTTCATTTCTCAAACAAGTTAATGAAGGCAAATAAAATCAATTTTCCCTTCGCTTTTATAATCTCATGCAAGTATTCCAATCATATTTCCATTTAAAGTAGTTCCTTGGAAGCGTTAAAATCATGGGAATTTAGATAGATAAACAGCATATGGCTGATACTTGGCGCATAAATAAGTCATTACCGGTTTTTCAAAAAAATTACTCTATTCGTCTGTAAGCATTTTAAAGAATTATGAAAAAACAAGGATAATTCTTTTGCATCAGGACATCGACGGAGTACCAAAAAAAAATAAGGAAAATGCTTCGTTGACGATAGGACAAACTTTGAAAGATTTGAAAATCTTTTTATCCCAGATTTGATACGGACGCTACTCGCAGTAGATACTGAATTAGAATTTTACACAAAATAGAAAACGAAAAAAACTAATAATAATAACTATAATAAAAAAAATATATATATATAAATTCAAGGAAAATAAAATAAAAAAATTTATATAAAAAATATAAAAAGTGAAATAAATAAAACTTGATAAAAGAAAAATTTCAATTTTTTTTTTTTTTGTTTGCATTTATTCATGGGTCGTGCTCGTGTCCATTCTCTTTTACTTGTCTTGTATTTGTGTGTTCAATTCTTATGTTTGTTAATAAAAAATCAAAAAAAATAAGTCAACAAAGTTTAATATTAAAAATGTATATATTATTAACACTTGTTGTGTGTTGGGTTGTGTGCTTGAATTGCTTGAAAATAATTAATGTGATTGGATGGATGAAGGACTTAATTAAAATTGAACCACTTCATCGCAAAAATTCAATTTAGTCTAAGGAAGTGAAGATAATTTCATAGAAAAGAAAACTCAATTTTGATTAAAAGCTGTCTACGCTCTAAGCATATACATGACTAAATATTTCAAACTTAACAATCAGCAATAATTACATAATATATTGATTAATATACATACACAACACCACCAAAATATATAAAAAAAGACTTCTCTTTACACATCATTAACTATGTACATGTACGTCGATATTGCTGTCCGTATGACTCTCTCTTCGTTCAAAAATCCGCAGTTAGGATGCATTTATACCAATACAATGAAACAATAATCAAAAAAAAAAAAAAAAAACGAAAAAAAAAATTTGAATTTTTCCAAATATCGTTGTAGATCATTAGCGATAGGGACTTTAGGGACTTTCTTCAAAACATTTATCAAATTGTAAATCGATGTGCAGTTCTTTATCGCCTCTTGATTTCAGCAATGAAATCGAAAATCAGCTAAAACTAATTCCATGCAAGTGGGTATTCATTAAGCGCCTTTGGTCGCAGCTATATTGAATGCTCAGTCGATAAAGGTGTTTGCACCAATTATTAGTGGGCGGCCGCCACGCACTTCTTTGTATTGTTATTCCATTGTCCTTGTTTCTTTCCGACCGTGACCGCATTATGCGAATAGAAGACAACCCTTGAGTAATTGGTCTTATCAAAAAAAAAAAAAAAACAACAACAACAACAACAACAAATAAATAACTCCAAAAATCCATTTTAAAGAGATTGAAGAATTCGCAACAATCTAAAAATTGTCAAAAAATCTATGGCAGGAGGAAATCTGAAGGAGAATTAGAAAGAAAGAAAGCCTTCACGAACCTGAATGTCACCGATACTAAGACCCAGCTCCAACTTTCTAGAAATTATTCCATTTGTTCAATGTTGACATGTGCATTTGATTTTTTTTTCAACATTAGCGAGGTTAGGTTGGATTAAGTTGCGAGCAACGCAAACTTGAAACTTTTTAAACTAAATAAAATATTGTTAAAAATGAAGTGAATGAAAAGTGAACACTGAAAGAATGCTTTTGTGCTTAATATTTGCTTATATCATCAATATATTATAAGGTTATATATATAAAAAATTTTCCTAAATGGAAAAAAAAATTAATTATTAATTAATTATAAATATTTTAAGGAAAATTGAAACTTTTTTTATGGTTCGCAATGATTCGCAAAAATGTAGCAAAACTACAGTCAGTGATAGATATTTAGGATTCACTTTTTTGCTTATTTGCTTGCTATGACCGCAAACGGAGGTAAGCTTGGATCTTAGAATCGTACTTTCCGGCCGTAAACCTGGTAGCTGTATGTATTAGTAAGTAACTAAAGTTAGCTTGATTTTCGCCTCCTGGTGTCCCCTTAAATGCATTCAAAGACAATTGAAATTTGTTTTGTGACCTTTCCCAAGCTAGCAAAAACAAAACTTACGAGGTGAACTTAGATTTTAAGATCACATTCGTTATTTTCTGGCCAAAGGCTTAGAAGCTGCACATATTTCAAAGGACCTATGGGTCTTACCTGCTACTTTCCCCTTAAACGTCATGTGAAGTTAATCCAATGACTTATATAATAGTATAGTTACATATTAACTATGAATAGCCCTTTGTCGTGGAACTAGGTCAGACAGCTGATCATCAAAGGCAAAGTAGAGATAATAATATGCAAGGAACAATTCCTTGTTGCTTTGCTGAATTCTAGAAAATCAGGGAGAAAGAAAGTCTACAAAAGGCTACGAATAATATACGGAGCAGTCCGAAATACCGTCAAAGCAAATATGACTGAGCATACAAAACATCGAGCATGTAAACGAGCACCGTTTAGCAATTCATTGGCTGTACAGGAAAAAACTTCAAAATTAGTGAGGTGTAACTGATTAGCTTCACGAATCAATTTGCAGACTTTCTTAGACGACCATCTCAATGCTAGATATTTTCTTATAGAAGCTCAAGTCAGTCTTTATTTTCAAATCAGTCCGTCCGTCATAAAAAAAAAACAAACACTTCCAGCCAATAGTGTTTACATTCTCGTGGATAAAAGTTTCTTATTAAACAGAAAGCTTCAAGACTGTATAGGAATTTCCTCCGTTTCTTCTCATATTAAATTTAAAAATCACTAAGCTACAGTAGATTAAAGAAACTGTCATCTCTTCAATTTATAGTAGATACTATCATTATTATTCTTATTAATTTCGCTATCGGCTTTTATAAAAAACTCACTCACCGCACTTGAGATTCGAATCCACGACCATTGACTTGCTAATCGAGATTCCTCGCCTTCGGCTGCTCAGGCGGATATAGTAGATATTAATCGGAGATTTTTGTAACAAAGAGTTAGTAAATAAAAAAAATCATTAAAAAAATTAAAATTCAATTTTAATGCGAATATAATTGTTGTTATTTCTTGACACCCATTAAGTCGAACGGTAACGACATTTTCAACTTCTCATTGCTATAATGAAACCCTTTCATCCCCTCGTTTCTCAGTTATCTGGCATTAGAATTCTCCTAACAGTAGCAGGATAACAAGAGATGCATAACTGAAACGTGACAGAGTTAGTCTTTAGTGAATTAGTGTAAGGTGGTATGCTGGGTGTATATATATCTCTCCATTTGCCTTATGGCGAATGTAAGTTCCCTACTCGTTTTAATTTGCTATATATACTTATAATCTGTTTCATTGCAATATTGTCTATTGTACTTAAATCAGAAATTAGGAATAACACTTTTGCGGTAGTTAAAGGGGAATTTTTTTTTTTTTTTTGCCTTTTTGGGGTACTTGATTTTAAATATCTATTCTATCACAAACACACACACAAACAATACCTAACTATTATATATACACACATGTATATATATATATATGCACATACATATATATATATATATATGCATACATATACATATATAGTATAGTACAATGAAATGCACATTCATATATATATATATATTTTAACTAATTAATTAGTATCTACATTGTATATTAAACAGGCCAACTTAAGTACACACATATTCACATTTTCTTATTACATCTCTAATGATATTTTAAAATCATTCAAAAAAAATAGAAAAAAAACGTTTATAAATTGTTATTACATAAATTACTGAAGTGGTTCGTTTCTAAACGGTGATAACAAGTGTTAAGGTTTTCTTTGCATTTAACTTTTGAACCTAGATGTGTAAAAAATGTAATTAATTCTTGTTTACTAAATTTAGATATCGTTCGTAGCAAGAATTTCTTTTGTGTTTTTTTGTTTTTGTTTTTTTTTTTTGTTATTAATTTACGGCTGCTGATGAAAGTAATAATCGAATAAATGTTGAAATTTTTTTTTCTTTACTTTTCTGATTATTTGGAATTGAAATCTAAGTGAAAATCTTAATTTGATTAATAAACAGAAAATATTTGTTTTTTTTTTTTTTTTTTTTTTTTTTAGTTTTTGATTAGGTTTGGTTAGGTTTAAATTGGTTTTAATACTCTTTTGTCTTTTTCTTGGTTTTTTTGCTTTGTTTTGAGAGGACTTTTTATAAAGCATCTCACCAGCCAAATTCCCGCTTTAAGAGTCATGCTCATAAGAAAAAAAAGTTGTTTTCATTTTGTTTTTCTTTAGTTTTTGTAAAGGTTGCTTTCGTTTAGAATCTGGTTGGTGACATACGTTTATAATTATTATCATATTTTGCATCTTATTACATAATAATTACGATATTTGTACATTAACTGACTTAATTTTTATTTATTTAGTATTTTGGGTTTGGTTTTCATTTAATATTTTGCAATTATATTGATTTTTGGTGTGTGTGTTTCCTTTTTTTTTTTTTAAATATTTTCAAAAATTTGCTTTTCAATTTAATTTCTGGAGCCTTCACGTTTAATGCTCGCCTGCGCTCTCTCTCACTCCCTCCCTTGGAAAATCCGATATAATCCTATTACAGTTTTCTGATTTGCTTTTTTACATATATTCATTTGAGCTTAAGAACGGATGCATACACATACATACATGCATACATACATGTGGATATAACTATATATATACATATGTATATATGTATATACACACGCGTATATTTGTTTACGTATACAAATATGTATGTATGTATATATTTTTCAGAATAATATTCTCGTAGGCAATGTATCTATATTTGGTTTTACTTTACTGTCTTTTATATTTTATATCGTAATTCAAGTTTTCTTCTTCTTGACTTTTACTACTAAACTTTTTCTATCATTTCGCTATATTGTCTGTACGTGTGCATGTCTGTATAAAAATATTACATCTTCTCTTATCTATTATACACTTACACATACACACACACGCGCACACATATTAATCTCTGTCTTTACACATACCATTCTTTCACATCCTTATTGTTTGTTTGCTCAGTCTGACCAATGTAAACAGTGCGTATGAAACCCGTGCGACCACTGTTGCCACCACCACCGCCGCCGCCGCCGCCGCTACTACCACCACCACCACCACCACCACCACCAGCATTACTAACGCCGCTACCTATATGTCCTTGTTGTTCTCCGTAACTGTCGGCATCATCGTGATGATCTGTTGATGATGTTTTATTTTGTTGATGTTGTTTATGCAATCCTTGCGGTTGATGCTGTTGTGGTTGGTTTTGCAATTGTTGCTGACTATGACTATTACTGGTAACACTAGATTGCTGATTGCGTTGCTGCCTTTGTTGATGATATGAACCATTAGTGCTGGCATTACCCAGCAATGCTGTATTCGCATTATGGCTGCCGTAGACAGTTTTCTCACCAGCTGTTTTATAGTTACGATCACCGTTGGACTTCAACCATAACACTAGTAATATAACTAAAATGACTGCGATTAATATGCCTGCAACAATGCCAATAATCATAGCTGTTCGTTCCTCTTCAATTGAATTTATGCGGCCACCTTTGCCTTTTGGCCGATAATTATTATTACCGTAGGGCGGTGGCTGAGGCAAAGGATAATATGAGAGACCCGGATCTGTTTCATGTACGGGCGGTGGTGGCGGTGGCGGCCTTTCTGGCGTATGCGTATGATGGCCATGCTGTATAATGTTTGCATTTTCATTTTCGTTTTCTTTACCGCCGCTAAACACATGAACAACATCATAAGGTGTAGTATCATCACGTTCTGTTCCCGTTGTGCGTACATCCGGAGAAGGAGTTGCTGGCGTGCTAGCCATAGTACTGGATGTAGTTGTTGTGCTACTTGTTATTATCGCAGGCTGAACGGTTGTTATTTGCATAGCTGTCGTAAGAGCAGGTGTTTGAGTTTGTTGTGTTGTACTTATGGTAGTCGCGACACTGGTCATTACGGTGCTTAATGCCGTCGTCTCCCTTGACGGCGTCTGGTGATGTCCTAGAGTAGTGCTAGTCTGTTGTTGTTCAGTAGTTAAAAGCTCCTGCTGGCGCCGATTATTACTATCCGTGGTTACTGTAGCGATTTCTTTATTCATTTCTGGAAATATGCGGTCAAAGCGGAAATCATTTAAAACTTTTCGCATATCGTATGTTAGAAACAATTTTGTCTTTTTGTTTCAATCAAAAAAAAAAAAAGAAAAAAAAGTGCATTGAAAGAAAGTTTATTTATGTTTTAAACCAATTCACGGACGACTCTTGCGACCACTTCCGTCGTAATGCATCGCATTTGAGAACTTGGAAAACTTTGTCCTTTTCATTATTTTTCGCCAAAAATCGAACGAAAATTTTTCCTTCCTAGCGATTTCAAATACAAATGTACTATGTTAAATTTTAGACTACTATAGGTCTACTTTTTTACCACCTCTCTGTATATACAGAATTTCACAAACAATGGCCTTTGGTCTTTACATGGCCAAAAATATAATTTTTATATTTAGTTGACGAAAATAAGTGAAGAATAATAAATTGTTTGATTTTAACATGGTTGGGCGGGGTCGGTTCACATTATGAACACGTTCTCCTATAAAGCCTCTCAAGGAAAGTAAATCTTTAGATGAAAACGAAGACTAATTCTATATGTAAGGAAAATAGATGAGCAATGGTATTAGGTGGAGTATTGTGCAATATTTAATATACCGGCGTCATATACTACAAGGTTTTAAGTGTTTCCGAGTTAACATTGTACACTACCAAAGTAGAGGAAGATCTCTTGGCTTGTTAGCAGATCTTTTGCTATCATTTCTGAACAACGTTTCATCTCTATTTTCTTTGCGAAAATCATTTGAAATTTTTACTTTTTTTTTTCTAAGGGTTATCAGTATTCTGGACAGGCTGTAACTAACTTTCAATTGGATTAATGGAATTCAACTCAATATGTTTATGACATTTTTAATCTTTTAAATATACACATTTTACATCTTTTAGGAAAGCGTCGACGGGTAGACAAGCACATAGATGCACAGCCAACCGCACTCAACCCTCTGGGAATGGTTTACGTTAGTCTTATGTAGACAGTTATGTTAATATTAGGCGAGCAATGAGCGTTCAGATATTTTAGATTTTGTGTTTACTAGGCCGTAGCTGTCGTGTAATAAGCCTATAACTAGACCATATGTTTTTAAAAGTATCCAAGATTACCCCGAAGACTAGGGTTATAAGAATATAGAAAGATATTCAGGCGAAGGAATTTATCTCTGTCTTCTTTCTACGTATTGTTAATGGAACGATAAGATCCCGGTGAACTTTCTTCCTAAAGGCTATCTATACCATGTCCTATAATTTTATTGAGAGGAATAATGAGCAAATATTATGTATCAATACCGATCGCAAAAGTACTCTCAGCAATGATAAGCTTAAAATGCAATTGCCCGAAGGCATTCCAAAAATGTCTCTTAATTAAAGACTTAATTTCTTGATTAAGAAAAGAGAAGTGAGGATACTGTAACGAGCGTGAAACCTCAATACGATTTTAGCCAAATTCTCGCTTTCATCGCTTTGCGATCTCTTCAAATAACTGAATGATGGCAATTTGCTCTTTTCCCTGGGCTTTTGTAAGAACTTGTCGATGATAATGATGGTATTTATGGGGAAATAGAAAGGAAGCAGTCTAGAACGGACTTTGATAACCAAGTGTATTATATAAGCAAAGCAAGACAACGTTTCGTTTTGAATATTTCTTTCAATTGTTTCCTTTATTGATTTAACAGAACACTAACAAAACGAACATAAAACATAAAGAAAATATAGCATATATCGTATTTAAGCTTAAAAAATTACAACAAATAGGTCTTTTTATAGACTCAAAAATATTTACACATAATACACGTAATAAGAATTTTACACATATTTATATATTATGTAATATTAATTAATAATCACAGTAATTATCATAATAATAATAATAATAATAATAATAATCATATTATCAGTAGTTATATATATATATATATATATTCAAGTAAAATAATACTATTTTTTATTACATACATACACATATAAAGAAATGTAAAAAAAGAAAACAAAAAGCAAAAAAATGGAAGAATCTAATTAAGATATGTATGAGATTTGCGATATGCGATAAACTCGTTGAACAAGATCGGGAACCGTAAATATATTCGCTTTTAAAACACATGTTAACGTATTTCATATACCGGAAGTTTGATTAATTTTTTATTTATCGTGAATATAACTGAATGCTAACGATTGTATATATATATACATGCATGCATGCATACATACATACATATTTGCAACATACATATGTAGTTATATTTCAACGGCTTAATTTCACTCTAGCATCTAATCTTAGATATAATGAGAAAAAGGTACGTTTGTATTTACGCGCATTGTACTAAGCTTTCCGTTATTATTGCTTTATTATATGGGATTTGTATGTTTATATACATAGTTAAAGCGTATACATGCACATATGCATGCATAAATAGATATATGTACATATGTATATAACTACGTGAGGCATATCCATATATATATATATATACGCATATATACGCATATATACGTATATACATATGGATCATGTGTATATGTGCCATAAGCACACATGTATATATGTTTATGTATGTTTATATATATACATACATATGTATGAATGTATATTATTAACATTATATATATAAAAACATACATATATATATATATACATGCATACTCATGCATTCACAAGGAACAACACGCATTGAAACTCTTCTCCACACATGTACATCAATTTTATTATTATTTAATCCCTGCTGCCTTATAAGTATTCGTTATAGGTGGTATTTAGTTAAAAAAGACGAGACAAAATAAAAATTAAAACAAAAACAAAAAAAAGAAAAATTATTTATTTGTATATGTGTACATGTAAGCATATGCAAATGATATAATATATATATAACAATTATCTCAGATCGTTTTTCTATTAAGTGCAATTCTATACGCACATGCGTAGTAATTTGTATTTAAATTAATAAAAAAAATACTTAAGAGATGAATAACAACAACTTATACGTCTACATTTGATTATTACGTTCAGGTAATTTTTTTAATATTTCTCTCTCTCTCTCTCTTCCTCTCTTTCTGCCTCTCTCTTTCTCTCTTTTTCATTCTCTTTCTCTCTCTCTCTCTTTTTCTCTTTCTCTGTCTCTGTCTCTCTCCCTTTCTTTTTCTCATTCACAGACTTCACACTATTTTTGCTTAGGAGGAGGGGTAGAACAAGGTGATGCATATTATTGTATATAACCAAGCCGAGCGCGTTGTGTTAGTTATTAGAGTGTATTCGAGTTAGTTTATTCTTTTTTTTTTTCTTTTTTTTTTTTTGTTTCGTTTACTTTTTGCTTTCGTTAGTTTTAATGGTTAAGTTAGTTTGCTTATGCTCGAGAAGAATGCTTTCGCTCTATATTGTATGAATAGAATTTTGAGCAAGCAGCCAGTGCGCGATCACAGTCAGAAATATGAAGTAGAGTTCAGTTTCTGAAAGAAATAGATTCCAACTGAATTCTCTCATCATACATATTTAATAAATAGCATATTCAGATAATCAATTAAGATTTGACAGTAACTATTTATATTATTTGAAAGTTGAAACTCCATGGCTGACTGATGAGTGTTATATGAGGAAAACGAATTTAAAAAAAAATTTTTTTTTTTTTTTTTTGAATGCCATGAAATGTAATAAAAATGTTAAGAAACATTTCTTTTTTTTTTTCTTTTTTTTTTTTTGTTTAAATTATAAGAAATATAACCCAACTCTTTCTAATAATAATAATAATAATAAATACGATTTACTACTACGCGGATCGAGCAAAAGCAGTTAATTTATTTATTTATTTTTATTTTTTTTTTTTCAAAAAACTACATACATTAATGAGAACTAACGTATATGAAAATAATTTAATATCACCCTTAAGAAAAATTTGCGCTAACATTATGAATGATTTGAAATCGAAATGTAATATTGATTTGAAAATTCTATAGGAAGGAGAATAAAAAAAGAATTCATATAAATAGATTCACATACAGCCGAACAGCATAGATATATGGATGGTATAGCAAATAATTCTTTTAGAGTAGAGACTAGAAGGCTTAAAAGGGCTTCGCATTGCACTGTTGATGAGAAACCTATAACATTCGATTTGAAAATGTGTGAAGAGTAGCATTATAAATGACTTGGTAAGATCAGATTGTTTTTTCCTATGCAAATAAAAAATTTCCAAACAATTTATTGTCTTGGGTTCAAGTTCTTGAGTACACAAATCAGTCGAATAGTAGGAATATCTCTATATATCAACAAATTGATAATTAGTCTCCCCCTCCTTCTCTCTCTCTCTCTCTCTCTCTGTTATTGTTAAGAATCATTATTAATATAAAAAAAAGAAAAAAATTTTTTTTGATAATCTCCTCTAAATCATTTTTTTGTTTTTCTTTCTTTCAGGTACGTACTACTACACGTCTGCCGAAAGCGTTGAAAAAGTGACATGAAATGATAAAGTTTATCGGTATGTAATTTGTATTGTAATCAACAAGACTATGGCGCCTATGATAAGATGCGCTGCGTATAGGATTGAAATTTAATTTTAAGATTCGCTCGTTCGGAGTTCATAAATGAACCTTTCGTTCATCTGATCGGAAGACCTTTTCAATTTCAATATAGATAGAGGAAGTAAATGTTTCGCTAGGGAAGCCGCAATGAAAAAGTGTTTCGAGTAAACTTGACTTCAATTGAATTTCAATTTAAAAGCTAAGAAATATCTTACAAAAAAACATACCAAACAATTATAAGGGAGATCTCATCGTCTAGTGTAGAGGGATTCATAATCAATGAGGTAAGGATGCAAAGTGATTGCCGCCTACTACAACACCCACAAGGAAGGTATACAACATGAATGATTGGTGATGGAACTGAAACTATTTTACTATAACACTTGGACTTAGAATAGGTTTAAAATCTGCCTGTGTACACCCAGTATTATCCCACGTGCTTTTCTGTCCAGCCCATAGGTCGTACTTTTTTATATCACATGTTAATGAAATATAACAAAACCTTTTCAAAATTTCTCCACAAAAGTTAAGCAAAAAAATAGTGTATTGGATGTATGCCAAATGAATGCAAAGAATTTTGATCTCAAAAATCAACAACGAATTCTAATTTTTAATATTTACGACAACTTTGACGATAAGATAACGATTTGGTATATAAATTTTACTGGGGGGTTAGTTTGGAGTGCGTAGGTATATTTTTTGGACTCCTGTCCTTATAAGTATTCCTCTGAGAGATAGGCCTTTAAACAAAATGCAATTTTGGTTATTTTACTACGAAAATGGTGGGAAAAAAAAGTTGATTATATACCGGATTCATATTTTCAACTCGTTCTTATTCAAGAGCTTTTCCAACAGCAAGGCTAACAAGTTTTATGAAATATTAATTGTATGAAATAATTGGTGTAAGATATTTACAAGTTGGGTCTGCCCGTCGATAACGACCGCTGAGCTAAAGAGCACTGACCTCGTCGAGGTTAAACATTCATCTCAGTCAAGTGATGATCATAACTATTTGATACTAATTTTAGGCTTGATATTATTTCGACGATTTGAAAAGTAGGAAAAATTCCAAGATTCGCGCCCATCGAACCCACGACCGCGTACGGAACTCTTACTCCGCAAATGTTAGGCGATCCAGATTTCATTAATTGAATCGCACTTAAGCACCGACTTATTATTGCGTTATATTCATTAGTTGATGTTGAGCAAAGTACCGTGAAAAAGCAACGTAGGGAAGATATATTTTGTTTTTTTTCCTTTTCGTTTCGTAAAATAATTGAGAAAAATCGTTAAAGCAAGCAATAAAAAGGTTAAAAAACTTTTACTAGAACACAACTGTCACGTAAAGTGAAAGTGATTTTTCCTTATATAAAGTCGCGGATTACTATTTTTTTTCTTTTGTTCAAACTACTAAGAACTAATTTTAAGAGAATACGATTTTATATTATGCATTATTAAATAAGAAGCATTGAACAAAGCAAAGGAGTTTTTAGAGAATATCTTCGATTTACGTTTATCTACTTTTAATGGTATTGGTGAAATGCTAAATGCTGATATATGAGAGATAAATAAAAATACAAACAAAAAAAAATTAAACGAAAAATGAAAAGAAAAAAGAAGAAGAATATATAATTGGTAAAAAAGGAGAGATTTTTACATACCGGAACCCTTGGCGGTGCTTGTAGACGTAAACTGTTCGGTAGTTTCACCATAATCACCAGAACCATGCAAACAATCTTCATCGTCGCAAGCACGTTCGGTACCATTCGTCTTATCGGTGCTAACATTTTGCGATATGGTCGTTTGTTTAGTGGGCGGTATATAAACAGGCGTTATTAAATCATCACCACTGCCCGATTCGAATGGCGGAGTACATTCATCCTCGTCATCGCCCCGACACCCGGAACCGGCACCAGAAAATATTAAATCATCTATCGCACCCGGATAACCACTGGCTGGGGTCTATAGCAGAGCAAACAAGTTGAACCAAAAAAAAAAAAAAAACCAACAAGATTTTTAATTATTTATGAAAACTAAAAAAAAGGAAAAAAAAAAAAATTAGGAAAAAATTCAAATCAATTTGTTTTTGAGAGAAATGTTCGAAAAGAAAAATAAATTAAATTTTGATTGACATGTGCCTGCGCGTTTGTATTTGTATTATAAATTATTTCTATTTATATATATATATAAATTATTGTTTATTGTTAGCAAAAATATGTTATGCAGTATAGAGTGTTTTGTATAAATGCATGCAGGTATTATTCAATATTAATAAAGAGTAGTAGTAGTGCTTAAATTATTATTCAAATTTTTAATTAAATTAACAAAAAAAAAAAAAAAAAAAAAAAAAGTGTAAAAAAAATTTTTTTTTTTTTTTTTTTTTTTTTTTTAGAAAACTTAAAATAATAATTATTAATAGTATTGGACATAGTTGGTTGACATATACAAAAATAGAAGGAAGACTGTTCTTAGGTTTCAGTTTAATCCAGAGAGAGGGTTTCTTTCACAGTTGGAGGTATATTTATATATATATATATATATA